GTGCGCGGCCCGCGGCCCGCGGCCCGCGGCAAGCTGCGGCGTGCGCCGCACGTCGAATCTTGCCTCGAGGCGTGCGGCTTCCCCTCGTCACGCCGTCTGTCGGCGCCGCTGGCGGGACCCTTGGCTCCGCCCCGCTGCCGATTCCTGGCCCACGCCCACCTGAGTCTGTACCCCCGCCTCAAACCAACCCCCAGACGTGGCAGTTTGGGCGCTACGTCACCGCGGCATGGCGCGCCGGCTACGCTGTCAGGGAGGAGGTGGTGGGGGCGTTCGACAGCGAATCCGCGGCGACCTACGCCGCGCGCTGCACCCACGCGGTGCCGCTCGAGAGGATCCTGCTCATGGCGCAGCAGTGGCACCGGGGGTGACCGCGCCCTAGGAGAGGATGGCCTGCCGGCAGCCGCAGCGCGCGCCGCCCGGTGTGTGGCTGCTATTCACGCCTCAACGCCCTTGCGGGGGATTGCCAGGGCTTTGCGAAATTCGCGGTCTGCCAGCCCTGCATGGGCAGCTGGCCTGGGCTCAGCGGCCTCGTCACAAGCACCCACCGCATTTGGTGTGTTTGACTGACTGCTGACCGCATGTGCGCAGCCGCCTCATAACTGCAAAATGGACTATAATGTGCACCGCTGTGAGCCTTAAACAGGCAGCTTCTTCACTGGTCTCCCGGCACTGGCTGCCAGGAATATGATGCTTGCATCGGCATGTATAATTGGCAACAGTGAGCCTGCGATGTGCTCACGCTTGGCCGTCAAACCAATGTGCTTGTCGCTTGGTGCCTCTTTTGCTGAAAAAGGTGTCCACATATGCAGCGAATCGGCACGAGTACGCAGCAAGGCTGCCGTGAGGCAGGGTCGGTGCAGCCCTGCCGCTGCAAACGTGTGGCGGCGCGCTGAGGACGCTGCCCTTGTCCAGCCACCTTTGACTCAAACACTCGTGTCTGGTAGGCGGGGTGTCTCAACCGTGATGCCTGAAAACGCGCTGTAACGCTTGCTGCTGCGTCGGACAGGCACGCATTGAGGATGCTACGCGTGCAGCTGCAATCCGCACGCGCGTATGGGACGAGCATTGGGCCGTGCAGTCGCAGTTACGGCGCTAGATCTGTGGACATTCGGCGCTAGATCTGTGGACAGTGCGGGCTTTACACCAGGCTCAAACCCGGATCAAAAAGTCGCCCGACCGCGTCATTTTCCGCACCCACTTGTCCACCTGCGGGCGGCGAGCGCGCGGGGCCACGGGTGTGTCATTGTGCCGCCCCCGTGACAAGGGCCGGACCGCCGCCCGACGCCGCCTCAGCCACGCCGCGGTGCAGGGCAAGGCGCAACTGGCTCCAGCATTGCATGCAGGCGCATGCAAAGGCGGGTGGGCGCGTCTGAATGAAGGCCGTGCCCGGGGCTGTGAGCAGCCGCCCACCTGGTAGGACGACCCCAGCCGGCGCTCCATGATTTTGAGGTATGACACCCGCAGCGCACTGGCGTTGTACATTGGCACCTGTTGGTGAGCAGGAGTCAAGGCGGGAGGGGGGGCGACTGTTTTGATGATGGGAGGTTGTGTGGAGGGAGGGCGTGCACGGGAGGCTGGGCGGGGGCCAGGGTGCGGCAATCACCGGGCGGGGGG